AGAACAACAAAATTGAAAAAATCTACATCAGACATTCAAAAACCAACAAGCCAGCTATCCCAGCCTGGTTAGCCCCCTAAAAACTCTGATACCCCATAATTAAATACAATATACTCACATAGAGACTACCTTACACTGTGTTTAAAACCAAAATCGCATTTGGATAGAAACTGTTTCTCAGGCGGCTAGTCCTAGTCTTTATAACCCTGTACCTTCTTCCAGAAGGCAGAAGCTGAAAGAGATCATTTCCGGGGTGTGCACTATCCTGCACTATCTCTGCAGCTTTCTTATGGCACCTGGAAGCATAGATTTGATCCAAGATGGGAAGAGTGCACCTAATTATTCTCTCCACAGTCTTTACAACCCTGGGCAGCATTGTTTTTTCCCTGACCGTGCAGCTCCCAAACCACACACACAGACCATAAGTTAATACACTCTGCAACCTGCCCCCGTCCTTCCTGGGCATGCAGGTGAGGGGGAGAGGATGCCCCGTTGGGAGTGAACTGGGGGCTTTCCTGAACAGCCGGTTCCTTCCACTCTGCATTCCTTCATGCTGCTGGAGGAGCACGTACTGTGTTCTCGGATGGCAAAATGTATCGAAAGCAGCCTCCTGAGAGACACTGGCCTTTTTCTACTTACAGAAATATTGTAAAATTAATGAATGTTAGAATGATGACGGATTGAAGTTAAGCGGTTTCTAGCAGTAATGGTTAAAAGAATTGGAAAAATTGGTTTTTAATAGGTAAAAATTTAATGTTATAATACATCAAGATTAAAGATCAGGATTAAAAAGGAGGGAAAGGAATTGCTGGACTAACAAATTGAATTGGAATACAAAAGAGGGAGGTATGAGGAGGTCCGGGAAACAAGTAAACGTAAAAGATGTGATGAAAACATGGAATTGTTTTTAACTGTTTTTTCTTTTTTGTACTTTGTATTTTTCTTTTTATTGTTAATTTTTTTATTAATGTGATCTCTTTTGAAATTTTAATAAATATCATTTTTTTTAAAAAAGACACTGGCCTTTTTGTGTGCAAACAACGGGGTGGTTCTCCCTCCCTCAGGGATGTCGGTTGGGGTAGAAGGTTTTAATAATGTATTTGGATGGCATGCATATTTGTGGTATGATAAGGTCAAAGCACATAAAGCATTTAAAAATCATATTGTCAGGAAAGCATTGTTTAATGTCTGGATAAGATATAAGGACCTACTTGAAAAAAAAAAACCCAAGGTGGTTGTCACCGATGGAAATGAAGGCTCAGAAAAAGCTCAATATGGAGGCCAAATGGCCGAAATATTGGGAAATTTTGGAACAAGATGGAGATAGATTGAAATTGCAGAGTTTTGAAAAATTAAAAAATAAAGTGCGAGATTGGCTTCATTATTATCAGATAATGGAGGCATATAATTTGGATAAAAAAGTTGGTTTCCAGGTGGAAAAATCAAAATTGGAAACAGAACTGTTAGACCCCAAAACCAAGATTTTGTCAAAGATGTATAACTTGCTGTTGAAATGGAATACTCAGGATGAAACGGTGAAATCTGCTATGATTAAATGGGCACAAGATGTTGGACATAACATAATGATGGCTGACTGGGAACAGTTATGGACCACAGGTATGAAGTTTACGGCATGTAATGCCTTAAGAGAGAATATTATGAAAATGATTTACAGGTGGTACATGACACCAGTCAAGCTTGCAAAAATCTATCATTTGCCTGATAATAAATGTTGGAAATGTAAAGAAACTGAAGGTACATTCTTTCACTTTTGGTGGACGTGCCCAAGGATTAAGGCTTTCTGGGAGATGATTTATAATGAAATGAAAAAGGTATTTAAATATAACTTTCTGAAGAAACCAGAGGCCTTTCTCCTGGGCATGGTTGGGCATTTGGTGTTAAAGAAGGACAGAACTTTCTTTATGTATGCTACAACAGCAGCAAGAATACTTATAGCAAAGTATTGGAAGACACAAGATTTACCCACTCTGGAAGAATGGCAGATGAAGGTGATGGACTATATGGAACTGGCAGAAATGACTGGCAGAATCCGAGACCAGGGAGAAGAGTCGGTGGAAGAAGATTGGAAGAAATTTAAAAACTATCTACAGAAATACTGTAAAATTAATGAATGTTAGAATGATGTTGGATTGAAGTTAAGTGGTTTTAGCAGCAATGTTATAAAGGAATATGTAAAAATGGATTGTTAACAGGTGATAATCTAAAGTTATAATATACTAAGACAAAAGATTAAGATAAAATCAAAGAGGGTAAGGATTTGCTGAACTAACTAATTGAACTGGAACACAAAAAAGGGAGGTGTGAGGAGGTCAGGGAAACAAGCAAATGAATGATAAGATATGGAAAGATTGATTTGTTTTTAACTGTTTTTATTTTGTATTTTCATTTTTGTTTTTTTTTCCTTCTTTTCTTTTACTTTTTTCTCTTATTTTTGTAACATGCTGAAACTTTAATAAATATCTTATAATTTAAAAAAAAGGGATGTCGGTTGGGGGGTGCACCCAGCAAGACACTGTGTTGAGAACTGGGCGATATGCTTGGCCCAGGAAGGGACTCAGATAAGAGTGCAGATGAGCCAAGCAGCCATTGTGATCTCCTGCCATGGGCTGTGTTTGCTTTGCAGCTGGCGGCTGGTGGTGGGGTCTCCAAAGCCAGCCTTGCTGAGCTGCCCCCACAAACTGCCCCTGGAGCTTGATGAGGAGGTCGGGAGGCTGAAACAATTCATTGCACTTCCTTCCTTTCTTTCTTCCTGCCTTCCTTCCAAGGAGCTCAAAGCGGTGCACATGGTCTGTGTGTGTCTTCCTCGCCTGCATTCTTATCTTTGCAACAACCCTGTGAGGTAGGCTAGGTTGAGAAGCAGTGACTGGCCCAATGTTCTTCAGTGGGTCTGTCCTACTTTCAGGACTGTTTTCAAAAAGTGGTTTGCTGTACTTACTTTTTGCATTCATGTCCCACCTTTTTCTCCAAGGAGCTCAGGGCTCTCCTGCCCGTTTTAATCCACAAAACAACCCTGCGAGGTAGGTTAGGTTGAGAGGCAGAGGCTGCCCCCCTAAATGAGCTTCATGGCAGAGCAGGGATTTGAAGCCTGACCTCCCAGGTCCTTGTCCGACCTGCTAACTGGCTCTTGGAGCCCCTCCTGGTCCCTCTGTGGAGTGGGGCCCTGGCCCTGGATGCCTGTCCCCAGATGCTGACCCACAGAAGCTGGTGTAATAATAAATGAGCCTTTGACTTGGAGGAACAATCTGAAAGTTTTGGTGGAACCTTAAAGGCCAAGAAATTAATTGCTGCAACTCCAGCTCACTCTGCCAGATGCCTGAATTGAAATCTTAGTTGGGGAAAACAGTATGGTGGGAGCAGAATGGCAAGGAGATGCAAGAATTAGTCAGTGACAATTAAGGCTTAAATATATGTTAAACTGGCATACCTTTAACCTTTTACAGTAACAGGTTGGTGGTAATTGACCTAGAAGCCACTGAAGGACACTTTGCATTTGCTCCATGGAGTTATGGCAGGGCTGGCTCCAGGTTTAAGTGGGGCCCAAGTGTTTGCTGGTGCATGGCCTTCTCTGTCAGGTGGGCTTACCTGGCTGTGGGGACCAGCCTTCTAAGCACCTCTGGTTCTTAGGTGCCTTTGAAAGATCCCAGAATGGTGTTAGGTCAGGTGCTGTGCGCAAATTTTTTAAAAAGTGGCTGTATGTAGCCACAAGGCACCCATCAGTGTGCCCGGCTGGGGGGATGGATTAAAGGGTGCATGGTAGGCAGGCATCCTCAGTAGGTCTTGCTGAAGTCCTAGGGCCCTGCCTATAAAGTGAGAAAAGAGTCCTTACATCAGATGCATAGCCCTGTTGCCTCTTGTTTAACTGATCTGTAACACCTAGCAGGATCCGGACGTGGAATGGGCCCCAGCTCAGTGGCAGAACATCTGCTCTGCAAGCCGAAGATCATGTCACTCTTGTCAAAGCCCTGGAATATCTGAATGACTCAGACCATTGACACAAATGCCCCGGAGTTCCTTCTCCTGCTTCATGGAGCCCTCTTGGCTCCCTGGTATACGCCAGAGCTTAGGAAACAAGCTAGGAAGTGGCTTGAACATGAGTGGAGAACTCCGGTCAGATTCTTGCACTTGATGGGGTCACACTCCTTCTGAAGGAGCAGATATGTAGCTTGGCGTCCTTCTGGATCCATTGCTGTCACTTGAAGCTAAGGTGGCCTTGGTGGCGTGGAGTGCCTTCCATCAGCTTTGGCTGGTGGCCAGCTATGTCCTTATCTGGACAGAGAAAGCCTAACTTCTGTCGTCTATGCATAGTTCAGCCTCTGAAGATGATTTGGAAACTTAAGCTAGTGCAGAACTTGGTGACCAGGTTGCGCTCACTGGGACAAGACAATTTGAGCATATTACACTGATGGTGATCCAATGGCACTGGCTGCCAGTTAGTCTCTAGGCCTGATTCAAAGTGCTGGTTTTGGCCTATACAGCCTAAATGGCTCAGGACTGCAGTACCTCAAGGACTGCCTCTCCCCATATGAACTAACCTAGACCCCAAGATCATCCTCTGAGGCCCTTCTCCATGTGCCTCCTCCTTGAGAGGTCCAGAAGGTGGCAACATGAGAAGGGGCCTTTTCTGCAGTGGCTCCCCATTTGTGGAATGCTCTCCCCAGGGAGGCTCACCTGGCACCTGCATTATATATCTTTAGGGGTCAAGTGAAAATGTTTTTCTTCAAAACATTCTATGTCCTTTTAAATGTGTTTGTGGAAGGAAGGTTATTGGTTTGTTTGTTATTTTTTTATGTATTTTGTGTTCTCCTTTTGTATTTTTATGTTGTGAATTGCCAAGAGATTTTTGGATAAAGGATGATATACAAATGCTGCTGCTGCTGCTGCTGCTGCTGTTGTTATTATTACAACTCTTAATCCTCTTTGGAGGAAGCTTCTCAGCTGTTTTCTTTTCCTCCTCCTCCTCGTCCCAGGTGGGTGACCAGATGAAGCTCCTGCAGAACTGCTGGAGCGAGCTGCTGGTCTTTGACCACATTTTCCGCCAAGTGCATTATGGGAAGGAGCACAGCATCCTGCTGGTGACAGGCCAGGAGGTAAAAGCGCTAGGGTTTGCAGGTTCCACAATGGCCCTTTTCAGAAATGCTGCAGCAAAATGTAGCGTGAAGTGCCACTGCTGCTGCTCAGGATTCTGGCCACTTCCTTTCCTTTCCCCATGCCCACCCCCCTTGTCTCATCTCCCCCACCCTCAAAAGTCGGTCAGCCTTCTTTGCCCACTGGGCATCTGTTTTTTGGGGGTGAGTGTTGTTGGTGTGCAAGCCCCCCTCCATAGAGGCTGGCCCCTCTCACTGTCCTCGGAGCTTGCTTACCGGTAACCTCCTCTGGCTGATATCCAGACAGACCAGGGAGATTTTGATAGGCGACATTTTCCCAAGAGTGGGTCAGTGCCATAGGCAATGGCGGAATTCCTCTGACTGGAGGAATTTGCCCCGTGAAAAATAGGGTCTGACCGCTACGGCGAAGGCGGAGACCCGGGAAAATCACAGGCGGGAGAAGCCTGTGAACGTGGGACTCGGCGGGCACCTTCTGCGCCTCCCCTACTCGCGGGGAAACCCGATTTCGGGGTTCCGGAGCGACGTGGGGTGAGTAGCGCCGTGCTTCGAGTCATCTGCTTCTTCCACGGAGCGAAGCAACATAGCTGTTGCCGGAGAGTGCTGACTTTTTCCTGTGGACAATTTGAATCTAAAGTAATTACCCGTGAGTAGAGCTGGAACGGGAGAATTAGACTTTTAAACATACAATTTGGCATCGAAGTGGGGAGGATCAAAACAGGAAGTCCGCCTTCCCCTTTTTGTAAATAGACTGAGGCAAAAAGGCTGTAAGCTGAAGCCTTGGAAAGCCTTTCGCAAAAGACTAAAATTTCAACGGTAAAGAACATTTGTATTCTAATTCAATTTGTTAGTCCAGCGATTCCTTTCCCTCCTTTTTAATCCTGATCTTTAATCTTAATATATTATAACATTAAATTTTTAGATATTAAAAACCAATTTTTCCATATTCTTTTATACCCTTACCGCTAGAAACCGCTTAACTTCAATCCGTCATCATTCTAATATTCATTAATTTTGCAATATTTCTGTAAGTAGTCTTTAAATTTCTTCCAATCTTCTTCCACCGACTCTTCTCCCTGGTCTCGGATTCTGCCAGTCATTTCCGCTAATTCCATATAGTCCATCATTTTCATCTGCCATTCCTCCAGTGTGGGTAGATCTTGTGTCTTCCAATGTTTTGCAATAAGTATTCTTGCTGCTGTTGTAGCATACATAAAGAAAGTTCTGTCCTTCTTTAACACTGATTGGCCGACTATGCCCAGGAGAAAGGCCTCTGGTTTCTTCAAGAAGGTATATTTAAATACCTTTTTAATTCATTATAAATCATCTCCCAGAAAACCTTAATCCTTGGGCACGTCCACCAAAGGTGAAAGAATGTACTTTCAGTTTCTTTACATTTCCAACATTTGTTATCGGGCAAATGGTAGATTTTTGCAAGCTTGACTGGGGTTATGTACCACCTGTATATCATTTTCATAATATTCTCTCTTAGGGCATTACATGCCGTAAACTTCATACCTGTGGTCCACAACTGTTCCCAGTCAGCCATCATTATATTATGTCCAACGTCTTGTGCCCATTTAATCATAGCAGATTTCACCGTTTCATCCTGAGTATTCCATTTCAACAGCAAGTTATACATCTTTGACAAAATCTTAGTTTTAGGTTCTAACAATTCTGTTTCTAATTTTGATTTTTCCACCTGGAAGCCAATTTTCTTGTCCAAATTGTATGCCTCCATTATCTGATAATAATGAAACCAGTCTCGCACTTTGTTTTTTAATTTTTCAAAACTCTGCAATTTCAATCTATCTCCATCTTGTTCCAAAATTTCCCAATATTTCGGCCATTTGACCTCCATATTGAGCTTTTTCAGAGCTTTCGCTTCCATCGGTGACAGCCACCTTGGGGTTTTATTTTCCAATAAATCCTTATATCTTATCCAGACATTAAACAATGCTTTCCTGATAATATGGTTTTTAAATGCTTTATGTGCTTTGACCTTATCATACCACAGATATGCATGCCATCCAAATACATTGTTAAAGCCTTCTAGATCCAAAATGTCAGTGTTTTCAAGAAGCAGCCATTCTTTCAACCAGCAAAAAGCTGCTGATTCATAATAGAGTTTGAGGTCTGGCAGGGCAAATCCACCTCTTTCCTTTGCATCTGTTAATATTTTGAATTTTATTCTGGGCTTCTTGCCCTGCCAGACAAATCTAGAAATATCTCTCTGCCACCTCTTGAAACAGTCCATTTTGTCCACAATTTGCAATGTTTGAAACAAAAACAACATTCTAGGCAATACATTCATTTTTACCGCAGCAATACGGCCCAGCAGCGAAAGCTTCAAATTTGACCAAATTTCTAAATCTTTTTCACTTCAGCCCAACATTTTTCATAGTTATCTTTAAATAAATTCCCATTTTTTGCTGTCATGTTAATCCCCAGGTATTTAACTTTCTTAACCACTGTTAAACCTGTCTCATTCTGAAACCTCTCTCTCTCCATTGGTGTTAAATTTTTCTCTAAAACCTTAGTTTTTAACTTATTCAATTTAAACCCTGCAACTTGACCAAATTCTTGGATCAATTCTAAAACCCTTTTGGTACTAGATTCTGGCTCCTGTAACGTCAGTACTAAGTTATCTGCAAATGCTCTCAATTTGTACTGTTTGGCTCCGACCTGTATACCTTTAACCAACTGGTCCCTTCTAATCATGTTCAACAAAACCTCCAGGACCGAAATAAAAAGCAGTGGGGAAATTGGGCAACCTTGTCGTGTCCCTTTTTCTATCTTAAATTCTTCCGTCACCACATTATTTACAATTAGTTTAGCCTTTTGTTCTGAATAAATTGCACTTATACCGTTTTCAAAGCCTTGGCCTACCCCCATACCCTTTTAAGTTCTTCTTCATAAAACTCCAAGAAATGTTGTCAAAAGCTTTCTCCGCGTCCACAAATATCAAAACTGCTTTAGTATTTATGTTCACTTCTAGTTTTTCCAAAATATCAATTATATTCCTCAAATTGTCAGACAAGTGTCTTCCCGGGAGAAAGCCCGCTTGGTCTTTATGAATCTCTTCCATCAACACTTTTTTCAGTCTCTTAGCCAAAATGTCTGCAAAAATTTTGTAATCCACATTAAGTAATGATATGGGGCGGTAGTTCTTAAGCTGCGTCTTTTCAGTCTCTGTTTTCGGTACAAGTGTGATATAAGCTTCTTTCCACGACTCTGGTGCCCTTTTCCCCTCCATTATTTCATTACAGACCTCTTTCAAGGGTTGTACTAGCCATTCTTTCAAGGATCTGTAATATCTAGAAGTCAGTCCATCCGGTCCTGGAGATTTACCCAATTGCATATTTTGAATGGCACCTTCTATCTCCTGTTCAGTTATTTTATAGTTCAACATTAATTTATTTTCTTGAGAGATTTTTGTAATCCATTTGTTTTCAAAAATCGATCTAGATCAGTTTCTTTCAGTGGCCCTTGTGTATATAGTTGTTTAAAGTACCTCTGGAAACAATTTCTAATCTCAGCTGGGTTCTGTATATTCCTTCCTTCCACTTCTAAATTTGTAACTGTATTTAATTTTTGTCTTTTTTTCATTTGCCAAGCCAACAATTTCCCACATTTGTTAGCCGACTCGAATGTCTTTTGTCTCATTTGTTTAATTTTCCATTCTATCTCCTGATTCATCATTTTCATATATTGCACTTGATATAACTTTATTTCTCTCAAAATCTCTTGAGACTTTGGTTTTATTCTCAATCTTTTTTCACTTTCCTTTATTTTCTCCAATATTTTATCCTTCTTCTCATTTTGGATTCTCTTCTTTAATGCATTCTGTTGTATCAAGAACCCTCTCATAACCGCTTTGCTTGCGTCCCAGATTACTCTTTTTTCCACATTGGTGCTCATATTTATCTCAAAATAGTCTCTCAAGGTTTTTTGGGCCTTCTTAAGCACTTCTTCATCTCTAAATAAGGTGTCATTCATCCTCCATCTAAAGGAGCCAGTTGGTGTTAGTTTCATTTCCATCTTGACAGCATTATGGTCGGAGCAGGTTTTTGGGCAGATTTCCACTTTTCTTGTCTTTGGTGCCATTCCTCTAGTTACCCATATTTGGTCAATTCTTGTCCATGTCATTTTGGCTTCAGAAAAGAAGGTTCCTTCTTTAGCCATGGGGTTCCTTGTTCTCCAAATGTCAACTAAGTCCAAGTTGTCTGTCATCTCAAAAAAAGTTTTCGGTAGTCTACCATCCTTAGTGACTACCTGTCTTTGTGCCTTGTCCATATGTGTAGATACCACTCCATTCATGTCTCCCATCAAAATCATGTTGTAATCCAAATAGTCCATCAGGGTCTCATGCAACTTCTTAAAAAATCAGATTTCCCCTCATTTGGTGCATAAATTCCTACTATCAAAAATTTTTCTCCTTGTGTTTGAATTTCGATTGCCACAAATCTTCCTTGGTCATCTTTAAAAATAAATTTCGGTGATAATCTGTCCTTTGCATAAATCACAACCCCTCTTTTTAACCTTGTCCGATGAAATAAACTCCTGACCAAGTCTTTTATTAATCAATAATTTCCTGTGTAGCCTTGTTATATGTGTTTCTTGTAGACAAATCAAGTCCAATTGTTCCTTTTTTAATAAATGAAACACAGATCTCCTTTTCTGAGGGGAGTTCAAGCCATTACAATTCCAACTTAGTAGTTGCAGAGCCATGATGTAGCTACTTTACTTCTCCTCCAACAGCACCCAGTGCCTGTTCCTGTTCTGTCGGTGGTATCACCTTTTTCAGGCGGTCTTTTAGTTCCAGAGGTAAATCTGGTGTGTCTAAAGTTTCTCTTACAAGTGCTCTTAGCTCTCCTGTAACTTTCTTCTGCAGGTCTTCTCCGTGGTCTCTCCAAAATTTGTCTTTGTCGTCTTCTGATCTTATTTTTATCTTCTTTCCTTTATAGCTAAAGGATAGGCCTTGGGGGAATTCCCACCTAAAAATGATTCCGTTGCTTCTCAGCAGGGTAACCAAATCTTTATAATTGGACCTAAGGTCCAAAAGATGTTTCGGAATATCCTTGAATATCTCCACTTTTGACTGTTGTATTTCCAAGGTCTTCTGGAAATGCAGGCTCAAGATTTTATCTCTCTCTTCTTTTGTTCGGAGGGTGATCAAACAGTCTCTCACCCTGTTCTTTCTCCCTCCTTTTCCAAGCCTAAAAGCACTCACTATCTTGAAACTGTCCTTCCCCAAATCTGGGTTCCAAAAGTCTGCAAATTCCTGCGTAAGAAATTCAATCAAATTGTCTTTCTCCACTTCAGGTACAGCCCTGACCCTTAAATTCACTTGTTTCTCCTTCAACTCGATCATAGACAGAATTGACTTGTGGTCTTCAAGTTGTTTGTGTAACGGTGGTATCTTCTCTTCTACCACAGTAGCTGTAGCAGTGGCAATTTCTTTAGCCTCTTCGGCTGTCTTACGTGTCGAAGTGGATTCCTGTAATAGTTTCTGAATAGTTTCTGTATTAGTATTTACCTTCTGTCCCAAATTATTAATACTTGTCGTATTTTGATTAATACTTGTCGTATTTTGATCAATTTTACCCGATGCCTCGGCTACTTGTTTACTTATTCTTTCCAAAGATTCATTAATTTTAGCTAGTGCCTGAGCCAGGGCATCGTCAGCTGCCATACCTTTGGGTTTAGGTTGTGCCGATGAGGTTGCTGTTGGTAAACCAGGAGGGCCAGATGTCGAAGCCCTTCTTTGCAGCCCACCGTCTGTGCGAAATACTCTGCCAGACCTCGTTGCTTGTAACAAATCTATCTTCTCTTTCCCATCTGCCATAACCCTCAAGATATAACCCAAGGCCAGTCTCACGATCAGAGTCAGAGTTGTTTTGAAGTGGAAAATTCCCTTAGGAAATTGAAGTGGAAAATTCCCTTAAGCCAGCTGCAGTTGTAACAGATTCAAGCTTCCTCTAGGGGGACACTGTAACAGTCAAAAATGTCTTAAAGTAATTAACTTCTCCCTTTAGTCCCCCAATTCACCGAAAAGACAACAGTTTCTATCTCAGTCTGTTACTTTAAAACCAGGAGATACCTGTCAGCAATATTGTAACAAAGTTGTATCTCAGATGCAGAGTTAACTGTCAAAGAGTACTTTCAGCGACAGCGCAGTTTCCAATACGGCTTCTTACTGTCACTGGGAACCCGTTCCAGGGTTTTAAGCGGTGGATTTTGTCTCCTCTTCCTCTCTTTTTTCAGGGAAATAACGTTCAAACCTTCTCCCCCCTCCTCCCCTGCAATCAAGGGGGGGAAATCACAGTTTTGATGCTCGAATTATAATCCTTTTCCAACGTCTTTTAAAGCTTCCGCTTTCAAGTTCATTGCTTTACTCCGTTTACAAGAGCGGGAGGCAGACTTCCTGTTTATACCTCTCCGCTTCGGTGCCGAATTGTTCAAAAATTTTGCAAAGTTCCTTTAATTCAAAAGTTAACCTACTCACGGATCGTTGTTTCAAAGCCAAATTGTCCCAGGAAAAAGGCAGCGCTCTCCGGTAACAGCTGCGCGGCTTCACTCCACGGAAGAAGCAGACGACTCACAGCACAGCGCCACTTCCCCGCTCCGCTCCGGAGCCTGTTGCCGGGTTCCTTTGCCGATTGGGGGGGCGCAAACGGTGCCCGCCGAGTCCGATGGTCACAGGCTTCACCCGCCTGTGATTTCTGAAGGGTCCCCGCTGCGCCGAAGCGGTGCAGACCCAATTTCCGTGGAGCCAGTTCCCTCCAGATCAGAGGGAATCCGCCATTACCAATGGCGCCACCCCGGAAGTCCTCCCCAGTGAAAGTGTTACCATTACTACCAACAGAAGAAGAGCAAGCATTGGGTGCAGTTGGAGGAACATCAGCATAATTACATGACGGCGTTACAGGTCTTGAGCTGGAATATAAATGGACTGAACTCCCCTGAAAAGAGACGGAAAATCTTTCATTTATTGAAAAAAGAACATTTGGACTTAATTTGTCTACAAGAAACACATGTGAAAAGGCTACACAGGGAAATATTGATCAATAAAAGACTGGGCCAGGAATTTATCTCATCAGACAAAGTTAAAAAAAGAGGAGTGGTCCTTTATGCAAAAGAGAGCCTATCACCGAAATTCTTATTTAAAGACGAACAAGGAAGATTTGTAGCAATTGAAATTCAATCACAAGGAGAGAAATTTTTGATTTTAGGTATATATGCACCAAATGAAGGAAAAACAGAATTTTTTAAGAAGTTACATGAGACCTTGATGGATTATATGGAGTATAATATGATTTTGATGGGAGACATGAATGGAGTGGTATCTACAAATATGGATAAGGCACAGAGACAGGTAGTCACCGAAGATGGCAGACTACCAAAAACCTTTTTTGACATGACTGAAAATATGGACTTAGTTGATATTTGGAGAATGAAGAACCCTCTGGGAAGAGAGGGAACTTTCTTCTCTGAGGCTAAAATGACATGGACAAGAATTGACCAAATCTGGGTAATTAGGGGACTGACCCCGAAGATTAGTAAAGTGGAGCTCTGCCCTAAAACTTGTTCGGATCACAATGCGGTGAAGACGGAAATGAAACTAATGCTAAGCGGCTCCTTCAGATGGAGGATGAATGATACTCTGTTTAGGAATGAAGAGGTGATCAAGAAGGCCCAAAAAACTCTAAGAGACTATTTTGAGATAAATATGAATACTACAGTAGAAAAAAGAGTAATTTGGGACGCAAGCAAAGCGGTTTTGAGAGGATTCCTAATACAACAGAATGCAATTAAGAAGAGAATTCAGAATGAAAAAAAGGATAAAATCCTGGGAAAGATAGGAGAAGGAGAGAAGAAATTGAGAGCAAAACCAAAGTCACAGGAGATTTTGAAAGAAATAAAGTTATACCAGGTACAATATGCGAAGTTGATGAATCAGGAAATAGAATGGAAGATTAAACAGATGAGGCAAAAGACATTTGAATCGGCAAATAAATGTGGGAAACTGTTGGCCTGGCAACTGGAAAAAAGACAAAAATTCAATACTATCACGAATTTGGAAGTGGAAGGAAAAAATATACAGAATCCAGTGGAAATTAGGAAGTGTTTCCAGAGGTATTTTAAACAACTCTATACACAGGAGAAGCAGAAAGAAATGGACATTGATCGATTTTTGAAAATAAATGGACTACATAAATTTCTCACAGGAAAAACAACTAATGTTGAATTATAAAATAACAAACCAGGAGGTGGAAGGGGCTATCCAGAACATGCAATTAGGTAAATCTCCAGGACCAGGTGGTTTGACTTCAAGATACTACAGATCTTTGAAAGATTGGTTCATACAACCATTGAAGGAAGTCTGTAATGAAATATTGGAAGGAAGAAAGGCACCAGAGTCGTGGAAGGAAGCTTACATTACACTTATACCGAAAACAGAGACTGAAAAGACGCAGCTTAAAAACTATCGCCCCATATCGCTGTTAAATGTGGATTATAAAATTTTTGCAGACATTTTGGCTAAAAGACTAAAAAAGGTGTTAGTAGAAGAAATCCATAAAGATCAAGCGGGCTTTCTCCCGGGCAGACATATGTCTGACAATATGAGGAATATAATTAATATTTTAGAAAAACTTCAAGTGAATATTAATACTAAGGCTGTTTTGATATTTGTGGACGCGGAGAAAGCCTTTGACAACGTTTCTTGGAGCTTTATGAAGAAGAATCTACAGGGGATGGGGGTAGGCCAAGGTTTTGAAAATGGTATAGGTGCAATTTACTCAGAACAAAAGGCAAAATTAATTGTGAATAATGTAGTGACAGAAGAGTTCAAGATTGAGAAAGGGACACGACAAGGTTGCCCAATTTCCCCACTGCTTTTTATATCGGTCCTTGAGGTTTTGCTAAACATGATAAGAAAGGATCAAGAGATTAAAGGTATACAAGTGGGAGTTAAACAGTATAAATTGAAAGCATTTGCTGATGATCTAGTATTGACTCTACAGGAACCAGAATCTAGCACAAAGAGGGTACTGGAATTGATTCAAGAATTTGGGCAAGTAGCAGGTTTTAAGCTGAACAAGATAAAAACTAAGGTCTTAGAGAAAAACTTAACTGTAAATGAGAGAGAAATTTCAGGAAGAGACAGGATTAACATTGGTTAAGAAAGTGAAATATTTAGGGGTTAGTATGACTGCTAAAAATGTAAATTTATTTAAGGATAATTATGAAAAATGTTGGATTGAAGTGAAAAAAGATTTAGAAATATGGTCAAATTTGAAGTTATCATTGTTAGGCCGAATTGCAGTGATAAAAATGAATGTGCTGCCAAGGATGTTGTTCTTGTTTCAAACATTACAAATTTTGGATAAGATGGATTGTTTTAAGAAGTGGCAGAAAGATATTTCCAGATTTGTCTGGCAGGGCAAGAAGCCTCAAATAAAATTTAAGATATTAACTGATGCTAAAGAAAGAGGTGGATTTGCCCTGCCAGATCTAAAACTCTATTATGAATCAGCTGCTTTTTGTTGGCTGAGAGAATGGCTGCTACTTGAAGACACTGATGTGTTGGACCTAGAAGGTTTTAACAACATATTTGGTTGGCATGCATATCTGTGGTATGATAAGGTGAAAGCACATAAAGCATTTAAAAATCATATTGTTAGAAAAGCATTGTTTAATGTATGGATAAGATATAAAGATTTGTTTTGTTTTTTTAAAATAATTTTTATTAAAGTTTCAATCAAAAATTAAACAGCAAAGAAAAAAAAACATAAAAAATACACAAATACACAATACAAATCCCAGAAAGAAAATAAAAAAAAACACAAAGAGCAAGAATCAACAATAAAAAGAAACATAACAATTAAAAACAATATCTCTTTTCCATTTCCGTTTTTGAATTTACTTATTTTCTGGACTTCCTCATACCTCCCTCTTTTGTATTCCAATCCAAATTGTTTGTCCAGCAATTTCTTTTCCACTTTTTAATCCCAATCTTTAATTTTAATATAATATATAACTTCAACTTCTTTAAACCTAATCTTTGATCTTAATGTAATATAACATTGAAATTTTACCTCTTAATTGTCAAATTTCCATTTCCTTAAACATCTTTAAACCTAATCTTTAATCTTAGTCTATCATTAACTTTAACCTGTACAGCTGGAAACCGCTTATAATCAGTCCAACATCACTCTAACATTCTTTAATTTTACAATGTTTCTGAAGATAGTCTTTGAATTTCTTCCAATCTTCCTCCACCAACTCTTCTCCCTGGTCACGGATTCTACCAGTCATTTCTGCCAGTTCCATATAGTCCATTAATTTCATCTGCCATTCCTCCAGCGTGGGAAGTTCTTGTGTCTTCCAATACTTTGCGATGAGTATTCTTGCTGCTGTTGTTGCATACATAAAGAAAGTTCTATCCTTTTTTAACACCATTTGGCCGACTATGCCCAGGAGAAAGGCCTCTGGTTTCTTAGGGAAGGTATATTTAAATACCTTTTTTAATTCATTATATATCATTTCCCAGAAAGCCTTAATCTTTGGGCACGTCCACCAAAGGTGAAAAAATGTACCTTCAATTTCTTTACATTTCCAACATTTGTTATCGGGCAAATGATAAATTTTTGCAAGCTTGACTGGGGTTATGTACCACCTGTATATCATTTTCATAATATTCTCTCTTAAGGCATTACATGCCGTAAATTTCATACCTGTGGTCCACAACTGTTCCCAGTCAGCAAACATAATGTTATGTCCAACGTCCTGTGCCCATTTAATCATAGCCGATTTTACCGTTTCATCCTGAGTATTCCATTTCAGCAGCAAGTTATACATTCTTGACAAATTCTTAGTTTTGGGTTCTAACAGTTCTGTTTCTAATTTGGATCTTTCCACCTGGAAGCCAATTTTCTTGTCCAATTTAAATGCCTCCATTATCTGAAAATAATGAAGCCAGTCTCGCACTTTGTTTTTTAATTTTTCAAAACTCTGCAATTTCAGTCTATCTCCGTCTTGTTCCAAAATTTCCCAATATTTCGGCCATTTGACCTCCATATTGACCTTTCTCAAGGCTTTCGCTTCCATTGGTGACAGCCACCTTGGGGTTTTGTTTTCTAACAAGTCCTTATATCTTATCCAAACATTAAATAGCGCTTTCCTGACAATGTGGTTTCTAAATGCTTTATGTGCTTTGACCTTATCATACCATAAATATGCATGCCATCCAAATACATTATTAAAACCTTCCAAGTCCAAAATGTCAGTGTTTTCAAGAAGTAGCCATTCTTTCAACCAGCAGAAGGCTGCTGATTCATAGTAAAGTTTGAGGTCTGGCAGGGCAAATCCGCCTCTTTCCTTTGCATCCGTTAGAATTTTAAATTTTATTCTGGGCTTCTTGCCCTGCCAGACAAATTTAGAAATATCTTTCTGCCACCTCTTGAAACAATCCATTTTGTCAACAATCTGCAAAGTTTGAAACAAAAACAACATTCTAGGCAATACATTCATTTTTATCGCAGCAATACGGCCTAGCAGTGAAAGCTTCAAATTTGACCAAATTTCTAAGTCTTTTTCACTTCAGACCAACATTTTTCATAATTATCTTTAAATAAATTCCCATTTTTTGCTGTCATGTTAATCCCCAGGTATTTAACTTTCTTAACCACTGTTAAACCTGTCTCATTCTGAAACCTCTCTCTTTCAAACGGTGTTAAATTTTTCTCTAAAACCTTGGTTTTTGACTTGTTCAATTTAAATCCTGCCACTTGACCAAATTCTTGAATCAGTTCTAAAACCCTTTTAGTACTAGATTCTGGCTCCTGTAACGTCAATACTAAGTCATCTGCAAATGCTCTCAATTTGTACTGTTTAGTTCCGACCTGTATACCTTTAACCGACTGGTCCCTTCTAATCATATTCAGCAGAACCTCCAGGACCGAAATAAAAAGAAGTGGGGAAATTGGGCAACCTTGTCGTGTCCCTTTTTCAATTTTAAGTTCTTCCGTCACAACATTATTTACAATTAGTTTAGCCTTTTGTTCTGAATAAATTGCACCTATACCATTCTCAAAACCCTGGCCTACCCCCATACCCTGGAGATTCTTCTTCATAAAGTTCCAAGAAATATTGTCAAAGGCTTTCTCCGCATCTACAAATGTCAAAACTGCTTTAGTGTTTATGTTCACTTCTAATTTTTCCAAAATATCAATTATATTCCTCAAATTGTCAGACAAATGTCTTCCTGGGAGAAAGCCCGCTTGGTCTTTATGAATCTCTTCTATCAACACTTTTTTGAATCTCTTAGCCAAATATCTGCAAAAATTTTGTAATCCACATTCAGTAACGATATAGGGCGGTAGTTCTTAAGCTGTGTCTTTTCGGTCTCTGTTTTTGGTACAAGTGTAATATATGCTTCTTTCCACGACTCTGGTGCTCTTTCCCCCTCCATTATTTCGTTGCAGACCTCTTTCAAAGGTTGAATTAACCATTCTTTTAAAGATCTGTAGTATCTAGAGGTCAAGCCGTCTGGTCCTGGAGATTTACCCAGTTGCATGTTTTGAATGGCACCTTCTATTTCCTGTTCAGTTATTCTATGATTCAAAATTAATTTGTTTTCTTGAGATATTTTTTGTAATCCATTTGTTTTCAAAAATTGGTCTAAGTCTGTTTCTTTCAGTGGCCCTTGAGTGTATAATCGTTTAAAGTACCTCTGGAAACAACTTCTGATCTCTGCAGGGTTCTGTATGTTTCTTCCTTCCACTTCTAAGTTCGTAATTGTATTTAATTTTTGTCTCTTTTTCATTTGCCATGCCAACAGTTTACCACATTTATTGGCCGACTCAAAAGTCTTTTGTCTCATTTGTTTAATTTTCCATTCTATTTCCTGATTCATCATTTTCATATATTGTACTTGGTATAACTTTAACTCTCTCAAAATCTCTTGAGATTTAGGGTTTACTCTCAATCTTTTTTCACATTCCTTTATTTTATCCATTATCTTATCCTTCTTCTCATTTTGAGTTCTTTTCTTTATTGCATTCTGTTGTATTAAGAACCCTCTCATAACCGCTTTACTAGCGTCCCAGATTACTCTTTTCTCCACGTTAGTACTAAGATTTATCTCAAAATAATCTCTCACAGTTTTTTGGGCCTTCTTAAGTAGTTCATCGTCTCTAAATAAGGTGTCATTCATCTTCCATCTGAAGGAGCCAGTTGGTGTTAGTCTCATTTCCATCTTAACAGCATTATGGTCGGAGCAAGTTTTTGGGCAGATTTCCACCTTTCTTGTCTTTGGTGCCATTCCTCTAGTAATCCAAATTTGGTCAATTCTTGTCCATGTCATTTTGGCTTCAGAGAAGAAGGTTCCCTCTTTAGCCATGGGATTTCTTATTCTCCAAATGTCGACTAAGTCCAAGTTGTCTGTCATGTCAAAAAAAGTTTTCGGTAGTCTACCATCCTTGGTGACTACCTGTCTTTGTGCCTTGTCCGTATATGTGGATACCACTCCATTCATATCTCCCATCAAAATCATGTTATAATCCATATGGTCCATCAGGATCTTGTGCAACTTCTTAAAAAATTCAGATTTCCCGTCATTTGGTGCATAGATTCCTACTATCAAAAATTTTTCTCCTTGTGTTTGAATTTCAATTGCCACAAATCTTCCTTGGTCATCTTTAAATACGAATTTCGGTGATAAATTGTCCTTTATAAAGATATAAAGATTTGTTAGAAAAGAAAACCCCAAGATGGTTGTCACCAATGGAAGCGAAGGCACAGAAAAAACTCAATATGGAGGCCAAATGGCCGAAATACTGGGAAATTCTGGAACAAGAGGGAGACAGACTAAAATTGCAGAACTTTGAAAAATAGAAAAATAAAGTGCGAGATTGGCTCCATTATTATCAAATAATGGAGGCATATAATTTGGATAAAAAAGTTGGTTTCCAGGTGGAAAAATCAAAATTGGAAACAGAACTGTTAGATTCCAAAATCAAGAATTTGTCAAAAATGTGTAACTTGCTGTTGAAATGGAACACCCAGGATGAAACGGTGAAATCAGCCATGATTAAATGGGCACAAGATGTCGGACATAATATAATGATGGCTGACTGGGAACAGTTATGGACCACAGGTATGAAATTTACGGCATGTAATGCCCTAAGAGAAAACTTAATGAAAATGATTTATAGGTGGTACATCACACCAGTCAAGCTTGCAAAAATTTACCATTTGCCCGAAAATAAATGTTGGAAATGTAATGAGATTGAAGGCACATTCTTTCACCTTTGGTGGACATGCCCAAGGATTAAGACATTCTGGGAGATGATTTATAATGAAATGAAAAAGGTATTTAAATATACCTTTCTGAAGAAACCAGAGGCCTTCCTCCTGGGCATGGTCGGCCAATTGGTGCCAAAGAAGGATAGAACTTTTTTTATGTATGCTACAACAGCAGCAAGAATACTCATCGCGAAGTATTGGAAGACACAAGATTTACCCACCCGGGAAGAATGGCAGATGAAGTTGATGGACTACATGGAATTGGCGGAAATGACTGGCAGAATCCGAGACCAGGGTGAAGAGTCGGTGGAAGAAGATTGGAAAAGTTTAAAGACTATTTACAGAAATATTGCAAAATTAATGAATGTTAGAAAATGTTGGAATGAAGTTATATGGCTTCAGTAGAAATGTTATAAGGAATTAAGTATAAATAGATTAACAGAGAATTACAGGGAAAATAAGGTTAAAATGTGTTAAGATAATTATAGGATGGAAAGCAGAGGAAGATGGAAAGGAATTTCTGAAACAACTAAATAGAAGTGGAACACAAAAAGGGAGGTGTGAGGAGGTCATGGAAATAAGTGAATGAAAGATTGAAATTATTTGATGTGTTTTTAAATTGTTTTTGTCTTGTTTTCTTAGTTTAAACTGCTTTTGTTTTGTTTTCCTAGTTTAAATTGTGTTTGTTAGTTTAGTGTTAGGTATTGTTTTTGTATTGTACTGTTTATTTTCTTTTTCTATGTATGTTCAATTTGTTGGAAAGTAATAAATATTATTTTTTTAAAAAATAAATAAATGTGTTTGTGGAAGGAAGGTTATTGGTTTGTTTGTTTTTTTTAATGTATTTTGTGTTCTCCTTTTGTATTTTTATGTTGTGAATTGCCAAGAGATTTTTAGATAAAGGATGATATACAAATGCTGCTGCTGCTGCTGCTGTTATTATTATTACAACTCTTAATACTCTTTGGAGGAAGCTTCTCAGCTGTTTTCTTTTCCTCCTCCTCCTCGTCCCAGGTGGGTGACCAGATGAAGCTCCTGCAGAACTGCTGGAGCGAGCTGCTGGTCTTTGACCACATTTTCCGCCAAGTGCATTATGGGAAGGAGCACAGCATCCTGCTGGTGACAGGCCAGGAGGTAAAAGCGCTAGGGTTTGCAGGTTCCACAATGGCCCTTTTCAGAAATGCTGCAGCAAAATGTAGCGTGAAGTGCCACTGCTGCTGCTCAGGATTCTGGCCACTTCCTTTCCTTTCCCCATGCCCACCCCCCTTGTCTCATCTCCCCCACCCGCAAAAGTCGGTCAGCCTTCTTTGCCCACTGGGCATCTGTTTTTTTGGGGTGGGTGTTGTTTGTTTGCAAGCCCCCCTCCATGGAGGCTGGCCCCTCTCACTGTCCTCGGAGCTTGCTTACCGGTAACCTCCTCTGGCTGATATCCAGACAGACCAGGGAGATTTTGATAGGTGACATTTTCCCAAGCATGGGTAAAATGCACACACCCTCCTCCTGCTTTCGCAGGGGAAAGAAAAGTAGTCAGAAATCTATTTACATGATGTTTATTTCTGACATTACAGCACTACAGAAAAACACGTCCTTTCAGTTCAGTTCTTCTAGCAGGTCTGACAAACTTCCTGTACATGCGCACATGACGGTTTCAAATTACACTCTTCACAGAGACTTTTCCAGCCTGTGAACGTCCTGGGAAAATCTTCTTTCCCACAGATAGGCACATCATGTGATGTCAACAGTCTGGCTGTCTGCAGCGGTGATGTTTCCATATACTGACAGGTGTGTGGGCGTTCCCTCTACATTCTTCTGCCCAAAATCCCACCACCACCACCAAGCATGGGTGAGACAGTTTTGGCTACATAAACAATAGCACACATGGAGAGCTGTTATTACTATGGGTATATAAGAACGATGATTTGCCAGGAATGTACAAAGTGTAAGAGAACACAGTTCCCCTGCCCCCCCCCCACCTCTTGTGGCTTCCAGCAGCTGGTAATCTGGAACATTGCTGGACAGGCCTTTCCAAAACATGGGTGTTGGCGGTCTCCGTGAGCATGTTGTTGAGAGCTGAGGGGGTGGGGGGCAGTTACTGTTCATCTGTGTTTATGTCCAGAGGAGTTCAGGGACCGCCTCGGATGTGGTCAGCCATTGGAGATTGCAGGAGATTCCAGCCCTGCCTATTGCCCAGAGGAACTGTGCACAACATCTGACCTTGACACAATATATGCAGGGAAATGTGGGAGTGCAGTCTGCAGAGGAGCCAGGTTTGGCTTGTCTGGTACCTGCTTCTGATCCCCGCCCCCAAAGACCCCTTCTTTCTGCTCAGAAGTTGATTTGCACCAGTTCAGGCAGCCTTGCCTCCTCCCCTCCTGCACATGGCAGTGGAGCAGGGCCGTCTGTGTGGGTATGAGCAACACCTTGCCCCCCACAACCTCTCCTACAAATAGTTGCACCAGCAGTGGTTGAGGGTGGTATTGGCTGCATCTGCTAGGCCTGCAAGGTTGCACACCAGCCCTGGGGCGGCAGGGGTCAAGCAGTGACCTTTTCTGCACTGGGAAGCTGCTTTTAGTGCTGAAGTCTCAGGCTCTTGGTCTGTCCGGCCCACAGTTGCCTACACTGACTGGCAGCAGCTGCTGCTCTTTGGGGTCTCAGGCTTGCGGTTTTATCCCAGCCTCTACCCATAGAATGCCATTTGGCAACTGAACCCAGCAACTGAAATGCAGAGCTTCTGCCTGTTCTGTGGAAGTGCTCAGAGCTGCAGTTCTCTGAGGAAAATGACACCAGCAGCAGTAACCTTTCTGACATTTGCCAAAACTGTTGTCCAGGCTCCTTTGAGAAAAAAGGTTCAGAAAAGTTTCCTCCTTTTGGCAAATGCTGTGTTTGCCCATTTCATGCCTAAAACCTGCTCGGGATTCTGTACCTGAATTGTGCAACCTGAATGCAAATCAAGCCTCTTTATTTTGCATAAATCGAGCCGTGAGGCTGGATGAGGCCGGTGGCCCACCTAGTCCAGCCTCCTGTTCCCACATTGGCCAGTCAGGTGCCCCTGTGGAAAACCCACAAGCAGGGCTTGAGCACATAAACACTCTTCCCTCCTGCCAGAGCTATAGCTAGGTGATTTTGCTCCCCTGGCAGAACTGTCCAGATTGTGCCCCCTAGCCACGGACAAATTAGCTCTTTTTTCCACCTCTCCTCCACCCCCCCATTCAATTCACCCTCTATTCTTATGAGGCAATAATCAGTATTTATATTTATGGACATATTTTAGCCGATTTTGCGCCCCCCCCAATCACCTGCACCCCTGGTGGGGGCCCACTTCATCACCCCCTAGTTACGTACCTGCCTCCCATCAGCCAGTTATGACCCAGCCACAGAGTGACACAGCTGTGAAACCATTTCATGCTACATTCTGTATGACATCCCTCTAGGGACTCTTCCTGTAGTGGTCAAGAGACCAGGGTAAGTCAGAACCGCTAGCTAAAGGTTGTATCTTGAGCAATAATGGAAATTAAGAACTGGTCTAGACACGTGCAACTCTTCTAGATCCTTGATCTTGAACTCAAATCACGAGCTCCATAAACAGGCAAGAGAACACTGCAGGTTTGGCTGCTTCAGATTTAACACACTCAAAAGATTCTAAATACCACCAATTCCCTGCCTTGTCCCTTAGCCACATGGTGCAAAGCAACAGGAACTGCAGCCTTCCCCATTCCCAAAGAGAGCAGGGTTTCAAGCCCTGGAACTGAGCAATGGCAGCAAACAGGCTTCTCTCCACACAACTGGAATGCAGAGGCACCTCTGCTTCTGACGGTGGAAGCGGAGCATAACTATTGTGGCTAGTAGCCTTTGATAGCCCTCTCCTCCTCCATGAATCTGTCCAATCTTCTTCTAAAGCCATCTAAGTTGGTGGTCATAACTGCCTCCTGGGGGAGAGAGTTCCATAGTTTAATCATGCACTGTGTGAAGAAGGGCTTCCTTTCCTCCTGCCAGAAGAATTCTGGGTAAAATTATCTTATTCAGAGCATAAGACAAGCTCTGCAGTTGGATCAGGCCAAAGGGGGCCCATCAAGTCCAGAACCCTGGTCTCACAGATGCCCCAATGGGCAGGACTTGAGTGCCAGTGCAATCATGCCTCCTGTGGGTTTTCAGCAACTGATGTTTCTCTTTGGCTTTGCAGCAAAGGACCCCCCCCCCCCAAACTCCATGATGCTTTTCTCCTTCACTGAAGATAATCAGGGACAAAAGGTTGCCCTCTGCCCATGCCCCGTGCCCAACTTCCCTCTCTGAGCGTGGTGCTAATTATGCTGCAAGTCATGTGCCCTCTGCAGCCTCAGCTGTACAGGCGCTGACACCTCCTCACTTACATATGCCAGCTGTGTTTGCCCTAAAGAAAAGTATGTCTTCTCTCTCTCTCTCTCTCTCTCTCTCTCTCTCTCTCTCTCTCCCTCCAGCTCACAATCTGCACTTGGCATCTGTGTGTGTGTGTGTGTGTGTGCGCACGTGCGCACACACACACAAACACAGGCATGCGAGAGGGGGGAGGAAAGGGCGCCATTTGAGTCTAAAAAGATTTTTCTCCTGAGCAAGTAAAAGAGGTTTAGTTAAAATTAGGGCTCCTCTGAACAGCAATATTTATGGGTCTGGGTTAAAGGCGGATCTACACGGATCCTCATGGATCCTCCACTTTTTAAAAAATAACCCCAACAAATGCAGTGTCAAATCACACCTGGAAGGCACGCCTACAGACTGGACTATAAAAACGTGACTCCAACACTTTGCCGCGCTGCAGCACCAGAAAAACATGGATCCGAGGCATGGGTCCTCATGAATTCATATGATTTTTATATTGAAACAAAATAAAAACACCATGATACTGTAGACCACATCTTAGTCTGTAGGCAGAACCAAAAAAAATCACGCATCCACTGTTTCGTGGTGCCGCAATGGCACAAAAACATGGTTACAAAACACGGATCCTCACGGATCCTCATGATTTTTGCACTAGATCAGCCCAAAGTCACCATCAGATCAAATATCATGGCCATGGGCACAGCATCCACCACAAAAATCACGGATCCACGGCTTCCTGGCGACACCGTAGCCCAAAAACGTGGTTTTGAAGCACGGATCCTCATGGATCCTCACACTTTTCGCATTGGGCCACGCCAAACTCACTGTCAAATCACACATCATGCCCAGGGGCACAGCTTACACCACAAAAAACTCGGCTCCACGGCTTCCTGGCCACTTCATGGCCCAAAAACGTGGTTTTGAAGTGCGGATCCTCATGGATCCTCATGATTTTTGCACTAGATCAGCCCAAAGTCACCATCGGATCAAACATCATGGCCATGGGCACAGCATGCAACACAAAAATCACGGATCCACAGCTTCCTGGCCACTCCATGCCCCAAAAACTTAGTTTTGAAGCATGGATCCTCACACTTTTCGCATTGGGCCACCGCTAAATCACCATCAAATCACACATCATGCCCAGGGGCACAGCCTGCACCACAGAAAACTCAGATCCACAGCTTCCCGGTCATACCGTGACCCAAAAACGTGGTTTTGTAGCACGGATCCTCATGGATCCTCACGCTTTTCGCATTGGGCCACCCCAAACTCAATGTCAAATCACACATCATGTCCAGGGGCACAGCCTGCACCACAAAAAGCTCGGATCCACGGCTTCCTGGTCATACCTGTTGGGATACTGCCAGGGAGACAAAGTCCATCATGGCCCCCAAGCCAGCTGCCGGACGATCAATCGATCTCCCGTAGGCACGCAGTATCAGCAATTAGCGACATGAGTTTCTAGAAGATTTCTTGCCACATTCCAGAGCTCATGCACACTCTATCAGCAGATAATGCACAGCCAAAAGTTGCACTCAGGAGAGCATTATTTACAAGTTTATTCAGCGTTGATCAGAACACAGAAAAACATGACTGCCTGCTTTAGTGTCTACGACACACAGAGAGAAAACGAAAGCAACAGAAAACATAAACATCCTGTGAACAGGAAATACGCAGACTCTGTGACTCACAGCCTGCTCCCTTTTAAGGTGGAACGGAAATATCCTAACATCCTCCCCCTTTCCATGTAACCTGTAGTACCTGTGGTTCAACCCAATTGCAACCTTTGTACATAAACCTTAAGTTGTTCTCTGTTAACAACCTTAGACAACAGATCAGCAGGAATTTCATTTCCTGCCATGTAGGACACCTGAATGAGTCCTTTCTGAATACACTCTCTTGCACGATGTAGCTTAATCTGCAAGTACTTGTTCCTTTGCTTGCAACTCTCCGAGTTCAGCAAAGCCAAACACGATCTATTGTCTTGATACACTTGTACAGGACATTTCACAGAAACTCCGGTGTCCTTAAACAGTTGCATCAACCATTCACAATCCATGAGTGAAAATGACAGAGCATTGAGTTCTGCTTCACAGGAACTTAGGCTCACTGTCATCTGCTTTTTGCACAACCAGTCAAACAGGCAGTGGTTGTACATGTAGCATACTCCAGAAGTGCTTGTACCATCCGTGGTGTCACTTCCAAAACTTGCATCTGCAAAGATTTCAAGACCTCCAGTCTTCTGACTGGTGAACCTCAGCCTGTAGTGCATAGTCCCTTTCAAATAGCGGGCTATGCGCTTCAGAGCTTTCCGATCCTGAACAGTAGGATTGTTAGCACGTCTGCTAAGCAGGTTAGTGCTTACAGCTATGTCAGGTCTTGAGCATCTAGCAATGAAATTCAACTTGCCTAGAATGCATCTGTACAGCGTAGTGTCAGAAAACGCTTCAGCAGTACTGTCTACCTGGTAACCTGTCACCATCGGTGTGTCTGCTGGGTTTGCATCAACTAAATTCAACCTGGTTAATACATCAGCAATTTTCTGTGTTTGGTGTACCAGAAAATTACCTGCTTGGTCCCTCTCCACCTGCAGAGAAAGATAGTTGGGTACCTCACCAAGATCCTTCATGTCAAAGTGCTCCTTCAGCTGAGCTAGGGTGCTTTGGTACAAAGCCTGATTCTTCCAAAACATCAGAAGATCATCAACAAAACATAAACAATACAGTTTGTTTTGCCCTCCTCCTTGACAAACACACATGGATCAGCTTTGCCCTGGTGAAAACCTAGAGAAAGCAATGTCTCAGTGAGCTTTGTGTTCCAACACCTGGCACTCTGCTTGAGACCATATAAGGATTTCCGCAGTTTACAGACCATTCCCTTCTGTATCTGCATTCCATCAGGTGGAAGCATAAACAGGTCCTCCCCCAAAATCCCGTACAAAAAAGCTGTATTAATGTCATGATGGGAAACATGCAGTTTCTCCTCTGCAGCTATCTTGAGCATCAGCCGAATGCTCTCATATTTGACGGTGGGTGAGTAGGTCTCGTGGTAATCCTGTCCTGGTACCTGTGAAAAACCTCTGGCAACCAATCTGGCTTTGTGTCTGACAACCTTGCCATTCTGGTCTGTCTTGGCCTTGAAGACCCATTTGCTGCCAACTAGTCTCATTCCTGGGACTACTGGTACCAACTCCCAAGTTTGGTTCCTGTTCAAGGAATCAACTTCAGCCTTCATGGCATTAAGCCAAGGCTCAGCATCTTTAGAGGTTAACTCCTGAACCTCTTTGAAGCTTGAAGGTTCCCACACCTTCTCTGAGTTACTAAGAACAGCAGTTGCCGTCTTAGCAAACTCATCAGCAAATCTCTTTGGAGGTCTGCCCTTCGTGGCCCTCTCAGATCTGCGTACTAGACGCAAGTCTTCTGGACTCATCTCCTCTTTCTTAGGAGAAAAGTGACCAATGGTGAACAGTGGTTCTTCCAGTTCATTGTCAGACGCATCAGATGGTCTGACTGAGGCCTTCGCGCTCTTGTAGTCTGCTGTGTCATCACTGTCACTGACACCAGCAGCAGCGCCGCCCACTGAACTGGAATCCGAACTCTGATCATCATCATCATCATCATCATCCTCAGCAGCTTCCTCAGCTTTATCTGCTTCCTTGACATCACCTTCATCCTCCTCTGGGTAACTCTGGAAAATTCCCACATTTTCCCCCCACTTAGGATTGTACTCAACACTCTTTGTGAACTTAATGGACTTAGAGTCAGTCATCCACACCCTGTATGCACCTTCGTACCCCATGAACAAACCATGTGCCCCACGCTTCCCAAGCTTGTTGCTCTGTGGGGTGTGTACCCACATGTCAGAACCAAAGATTCTCATGTGCTTGATGTTGGGTTTCTTACCAAACATCTTCTCATACGGAGTACAACCAATAGGTGATGACAATCTGCGATTATAAGTGTAAGCAAAATTCGCCAGAGCCTCCCCCCAATACTTATCAGGGAGATTGGCATCATGCAACAATGTTTTCAGTCCTTGCAGCAACGTTTGCTTTGCTTGCTCACAAATCTCCCATGGAGATCCAGGACTTGAGAGGCTATGCTGGATTCCCTTCTCAGTCAGGAAAGCTTCAAACTGCCGAGAAGTGAATTCAGCCTCTCGATTAGTAAACAAACAGCCAATGCGTTTACCGTGAACATTCTCCAACCAAGCACAGAATGCCTTGAACTTAGGAAACGCTTGCGATTTCTGCTCGAGCATAAACACATGAATGTACCTGGAAAAAGAATCAATTAGAACCATGAAGTACCTTGCTCCACCCAAAGAGGGCGCAAGTGGACCAACCAGGTCTGCGTGCACTAGATGGTAGGGTTTGGAAGCCTGCCTGCTAGACTCCTTGCCTTTTGGAGCAACCTTCACCTTGTTCTTCACAAGATACACATTTCATGTGAAACT